AGTCCCAGCAATGATGTCGTCAATCACGTAGTCCCCAATGATGTCGTCAATCACGTAGTCCAGCAATGATGTCGTCAATACGTAGTCCAGCAATGATGTCATCAATCACGTAGTCCAGCAATGATGTCACCAATCACGTAGTCCAGCAATGATGTTCATCAATCACGTAGTCCAGCAATGATGTCGTCAATCACGTAGTCCAGCAATGATGTCGTCAATCACGTAGTCCAGCAATGATGTCATCAATCACTTAGTCCAGCAATGATGTCACCAATCACGTAGTCCAGCAATGATGTCATCAATCACGTAGTCCAGCAATGATGTCACCAATCACGTAGTCCAGCAATGATGTCGTCAATCACGTAGTCCAGCAATGATGTCGTCAATCACGTAGTCCAGCAATGATGTCATCAATCACTTAGTCCAGCAATGATGTCACCAATCACGTAGTCCAGCAATGATGTCAATCACGTAGTCCAGCAATGATGTCGTCAATCACGTAGTCCAACAATGATGTCGTCAATCACGTAGTCTAGCAATGATGTCGTCAATCACGTAGTCCAGCAATGATGTCGTCAATCACGTTAGTCCGGCAATGATGTCACCAATCACGTAGTCCAGCAATGATGTCGTCAATCACGTAGTCCGGCAATGATGTCGTCAATCACGTAGTCCAGCAATGATGTCGTCAATCACGTAGTCCAGCAATGATGTCGTCAATCACGTAGTCCAGCAATGATGTCATCAATCACGTAGTCCAGCAATGATGTCACCAATCACGTAGTCCAGCAATGATGTCACCAATCACGTAGTCCAGCAATGATGTCACCAATCACGTAGTCCAGCAATGATGTCGTCAATCACGTAGTCCAGCAATGATGTCACCAATCACGTAGTCCAGCAATGATGTCATCAATCACGTAGTCCAGCAATGATGTCATCAATCACGTAGTCCAGCAATGATGTCATCAATCACGTAGTCCAGCAATGATGTCATCAATCACGTAGTCCAGCAATGATGTCATCAATCACGTAGTCCAGCAATGATTTCATCAATCACGTAGTCCAGCAATGATGTCGTCAATCACGTAGTCCAGCAATGATGTCGTCAATCACGTAGTCCAGCAATGATGTCGTCAATCACGTAGTCCAGCAATGATGTCATCAATCACACGTAGTCCAGCAATGATGTCGTCAATCACGTAGTCCAGCAATGATGTCGTCAATCACGTAGTCCAGCAATGATGTCGTCAATCACGTAGTCCAGCAATGATGTCATCAATCACGTAGTCCAGCAATGATGTCGTCAATCACGTAGTCCGGCAATGATGTCGTCAATCACGTAGTCCAGCAATGATGTCATCAATCACGTAGTCCAGCAATGATGTCGTCAATCACGTAGTCCAGCAATGATGTCGTCAATCACGTAGTCCAGCAATGATGTCATCAATCACGTAGTCCAACAATGATGTCGCCAATCACGTAGTCCAGCAATGATGTCGTCAATCACGTAGTCCAGCAATGATGTCACCAATCACGTAGTCCAGCAATGATGTCATCAATCACGTAGTCCAGCAATGATGTCGTCAATCACGTAGTCCAGCAATGATGTCACCAATCACGTAGTCCAGCAATGATGTCACCAATCACGTAGTCCAGCAATGATGTCATCAATCACGTAGTCTAGCAATGATGTCACCAATCACGTAGTCCAGCAATGATGTCACCAATCACGTAGTCCAGCAATGATGTCACCAATCACGTAGTCCAGCAATGATGTCGTCAATCACGTAGTCCAGCAATGATGTCGTCAATCACGTAGTCCAGCAATGATGTCGTCAATCACGTAGTCCAGCAATGATGTCGTCAATCACGTAGCCCAACAACGATGTCGTCAATCACGTAGTCCAGCAATGATGTCACCAATCACGTAGTCCAGTAATGATGTCACCAATCACGTAGTCTAGCAATGATGTCACCAATCACGTAGTCCAGCAATGATGTCACCAATCACGTAGTCCAGCAATGATGTCACCAATCACGTAGTCCAGCAATGATGTCGTCAATCACGTAGTCCAGCAATGATGTCGTCAATCACGTAGTCCAGCAATGATGTCACCAATCACGTAGTCCAGTAATGATGTCACCAATCACGTAGTCTAGCAATGATGTCACCAATCACGTAGTCCAGCAATGATGTCACCAATCACGTAGTCCAGCAATGATGTCACCAATCACGTAGTCCAGCAATGATGTCGTCAATCACGTAGTCCAGCAATGATGTCGTCAATCACGTAGCCCAACAACGATGTCGTCAATCACGTAGTCCAGCAATGATGTCGTCAATCACGTAGTCCAGCAATGATGTCGTCAATCACGTAGCCCAACAACGATGTCGTCAATCACGTAGTCCAGCAATGATGTCGTCAATCACGTAGTCCAGCAATGATGTCGTCAATCACGTAGTCCAGCAATGATGTCGTCAATCACGTAGTCCAGCAATGATGTCGTCAATCACGTAGCCCAACAACGATGTCGTCAATCACGTAGTCCAGCAATGATGTCACCAATCACGTAGTCCAGTAATGATGTCACCAATCACGTAGTCTAGCAATGATGTCACCAATCACGTAGTCCAGCAATGATGTCGTCAATCACGTAGTCCACCAATGATGTCGTCAATCACGTAGTCCAGCAATGATGTCATCAATCATGTAGACCAGCAATGATGTCGTCAATCATGTAGTCCAGCAATGATGTCATCAATCACGTAGTCCGGCAATGATGTCATCAATCATGTAGTCCAGCAATGATGTCATCAATCATGTAGACCAGCAATGCAGTTTCTCATCCATGAATGAAAGTTGCTGAATGATATTTCTCCGCTGTCAGCTGAAGGGGTGGAGATTGTTGGTGATGTCATTGACCATATATGGCCATGTCCTTATTCAGTAAGTGATGTCAGCCATCCATGCCCCGCCCCTTTCTTCATATACAGTATCAGCTGTCATCGGAGAGGATGTCTCATGGATGTTGAGCCTCGGAGGACTGACAACCAAATGCTGGACTGGAAGTTGTCATATATGTTATGATAGTAAAATGATTTTTCTACACTTGGAGAACTCCATTAGTAGTTTGGCTGAACTCCCAACATCCAACATTCAGGTGGTTATAACTAGTAATGACCTAATTATTATTATTATACAGGATTTATGGCGCCAACAGTCTGCGCAGCGCTGTACAATATAGGGGGGGGCGGTACTATTACAATACATTTGAGTACAGAAGGAATAGGAGGGCCCAGCCCGTGGAGCTTACAATCTAAAGGAAGGGGATACAAAAGGTGATAGCTGCGGGGGATGGTCTGGCGGATAAAGCCATGTGACTGTATTGAGACCCTGATGTGACCGGCATCCCCATCAATTTGTATCCTTGAAGCTGAAGGACAGAGAATCTCCCGCTTGCAGCCTGTTGGCCTAGAATGGTAACCAACTTCTGGATTCTGACCAAACCGCAGCTCTTCCCTTTGTCACGTTTTATTGACCCTAAAAAAGAGATTTCACATCACTTCCTGTCCTGGTGACCACACCGGAAGTACACATAAAATCCTGACAAATGTTCTGACTCTTCTCTGCTTCTTCTGAATATTTGAGTGCTGTATGTGCTCCCATTGGACCGAGCTAACAAGGTGGAACCCCTTACTATCCCCCCTAGTGTAGTCCCGTGGTCTATTCGTCCCCTGAGACTGTCCCACCAGCTCAACAACTGGGATAAATATGAAATCCATTCTTCTCAACCAGCCTGAGTGGACTGCTAAGCTGCACTGCGGGAGAAGAAGGATGCGGTACAATGGCTGTACTGCACCACTAATAGGGAAGCACAGCAAATAAACGCATAAACATGAAGGAACACTGAATTATGTTCCATCAGCGGGTCACATGATCGGCTCCTACAATAAACGTCACCAGGTTATAAAACCCAGAGATTGTCACATTGTATCTGCTGATGTCGTATTGGAAGCCGGTAAGTTCCGTTGTCCATTGCCCACTGAACCGCTACCATTTATACGACATTAAAATGTATTTAACAGCAAAGCATTGTCATCATTTCAGATATTGGGCTCCATGCACACTGGATAAACATGGCTGGTAATAGAGCTTTCAGTAGCATTTAGACGTGTTCAGGAGCGTTAGCATTTTAGTAGCGTTCAGCGTTTTTTTGCTGGACAAATGTTCCCAAAAAAAGACCTTAAGAGAGCGATTCACAGCAGACATCCCAAGAATATTGCTACACTGAAACAGTTTTGTGAAGAGGAGTGGTCCAAAATGACTCCAGATCGTTGTGCAGGTCTGATCTGCAACTACAGGAAACGTTTGGTTGAGATTATTGCTGCCAAAGGAGGGTCAACCAGTTATTAAGTCCAAAGGTTCACATACTTTTTCCTCCCTGCACTGTGAATGTTTACATGTTATGTGCAATGAAACCATGGCAACATCTAATGTTTGTGTAGTATTATGTTCAGCAGACTGTGTTCTTCTATTGTTGTGACTTAGATGACGTTCAGAGCACATTTTATGCCCAATTCATGCAAAACTCCACGGAATCCCAAGGGGTTCACATACTTTTTCTTGCAACTGTAGGTTCCATATTTGTCTTCCAGCCACAAAGTTAATGTAATAGCGCTTCAAATGTCTGAATGAGGCTGAGATTTCAGGAGGATTCCAAAGCTGAGTTCAGTTACTGTTTGGTACAAATGTGACCAGTTTCCCAGGAGGTAGGTACATTCCACGCCAGCTCAGAGCCAGGCATTTTTTAATGTTGGTTTTTGGTAACATCTTTGTTCCTTGTATTATCCAGTAAAATAATTCTAGCATAGTATCTGGAAACCGAAAGTTGGAATCTGTCAATTCTTATTTCAGATATTTGAACAAAAAACTACTATTGCATCATAATGTAGCCAAGACCTCGTATTAATGATCATATTTCTACACTTTGGTCAGGTGGATGGAAGACAAACCTCAAAAAGAGATGTTTTTTCAACTAAAGAGTCTTCTCTTGACATGGCCCGTTCTTCATTTGATGATCAGTATAAAGGGTGCGGGGATATCATGGAGACTGAAATTCCTCAGCTCTTCCAGACTGAGTATTCCACCAATAAGGAGTTTGCCGATGGCTGGGACACGGCAACATTTAAATGGGACAATGAGAAGAAAAGGCAAACGTTTTTACCCAAGGGATTCAAGGATGAATATGCCATTGCTTTGCTAGCATACACCATTAACGGGCCTCTTCACAAGGTCTTCAATGAAGCTGTGAGGGAGGCTGGAAGGTCTAAGGAGTATTATTTGAGAAACTTCAATTTTAAGGTCCTCCACTATTACCTGACCAAAGCTCTTCAAGTGTTAGATGTGGTGGAGACTCCAGCTTGCCATAAGGTCTTCAGAGGGATAAAAGGAATGCGATTTAAGGCAGAGAGTCAGAGTCCCATCCGGTTTGGGCAGTTCACTTCATCCTCCATGAATGACCAGAACGCACTACAGTTTGGCGAGGACACCTTCTTTAGCATCTTTACCTGCTATGGAGTCAGCATCAAGAACTTCTCTTTCTTTCCGGGTGAGGACGAAGTACTTATTCCCCCCTATGAGAAATTTAAAGTGTCCAATTTCTCCAAAGAGGGAAACAGGAACTTTATCACTTTGAAGTCTCTGGAAAAGTCAAGTGTTTATAACTGTGAGCTGGCAAAAGGTAACCCCCAGTATTTCCATTCTTTGAAATGTGATATAGTAGAGGTTTGTTACACAACATGAAATCTGTTTTATTTGATGTACATTTAAAGTCTTGCACCTTTTTGTTTCTTTATGGACCTCTACTTATTATTATACAGGATGTATGGCGCCAACAGTCTGCCCAGCGCTTTACAATATAACGGGAGACAATACAGCAACAATACAGTTCAAAACAAGAGGGATAGGAGGGCCTGATCCTGGGAGCTTACAATCTAAGAGGGAGGGCTAGTGGTACAAAAGGTAGGAAAGGAGGACACTTAGTGGAGGCCAGTGGAGGGATTGGCAGAGAGGGGTGGAGGACACTGAATGGAGGCCAGTGGAGGGATTGGCAGAGAGGGGTGGAGGACACTGAATGGAGGCCAGTGGAGGGATTGGCAGAGAGGGATAGAGGACACTGAATGGAGGCCAGAGGAGGGATTGGCAGAGGGGGGTGGAGGACACTGAATGGAGGCCAGAGGAGGGATTGGCAGAGAGGGATAGAGGACACTGAATGGAGGCCAGAGGAGGGATTGGCAGAGAGGGATGGAGGACACTGAATGGAGGTCAGTGGAGGGATTGGCAGAGAGGGGTGGAGGACACTGAATGGAGGTCAGTGGAAGGACTGGCAGAGAGGGGTGGAGGACACTGAGTGGAGGCCAGTGGAGGGATTTGCAGAGAGGGGTGGAGGACACTGAATGGAGGCCAGAGGAGGGATTGGCAGAGAGGGATAGAGGACACTGAATGGAGGCCAGAGGAGGGATTGGCAGAGAGGGATGGAGGACACTGAATGGAGGTCAGTGGAGGGATTGGCAGAGAGGGGTGGAGGACACTGAATGGAGGCCAGAGGAGGGATTGGCAGAGAGGGGTGGAGGACACTGAATGGAGGTCAGTGGAGGGATTAGCAGAGAGGGGTGGAGGACACTGAATGGAGGTCAGTGGAGGGATTGGCAGAGAGGGGAGGACACTGGAGGACTGAATGGAGGCCAGAGGAGGGATTGGCAGAGAGGGGTGGAGGACACTGAATGGAGGTCAGTGGAGGGATTAGCAGAGAGGGGTGGAGGACACTGAATGGAGGCCAGAGGAGGGATTGGCAGAGAGGGGTGGAAGATACAGAACGGTTAGTAAGGTGGATGAGTCTGGTAGCAGCATTCATGATAGACTGAAGAGGGAATAGTCTGTGATGAGGTCGGCCAATGAGGAGGGAGTTACAATAGTCAAGGTGAGAGATAACCAGGGAGGGAATAAGTTGCTTAATCGTTTCCGAGGTTAAAAACGGCTCTATCTTGGAGATGTTGCGGAGGTTGGAGATGTTGCGGAGGTTGGTGATGTTGCGGAGGTTGGAGGTGTTGCGGAGGTTGGTGATGTTGTGGAGGTTGGAGATGTTTCGGAGGTTGGCGATGTTGCGGAGGTTGGAGATGTTGCGGAGGTTGGAGGTGTTGCGGAGGTTGGTGATGTTGCGGAGGTTGGTGATGTTGCGGAGGTTGGTGATGTTGTGGAGGTTGGAGATGTTGCGGAGGTTGGAGATGTTGCGGAGGTTGGTGATGTTGCGGAGGTTGGAGATGTTTTGCGGAGGTTGGTGATGTTGCGGAGGTTGGAGATGTTGCGGAGGTTGGTGATGTTGCAGAGGTTGGTGATGTTGCGAAGGTTGGAGATGTTGCGGATGGTTGGTGATGTTGCGGAGGTTGGAGATGTTGCGGAGGTTGGAGATGTTTCGGAGGTTGGTGATGTTGCGGAGGTTGGAGATGTTGCGGAGGTTGGAGATGTTTCGGAGGTTGGTGATGTTGTGGAGGTTGGAGATGTTTCGGAGGTTGGAGATGTTGCGGAGGTTGGAGATGTTGCGGAGGTTGGTGATGTTGTGAAGGTTGGAGATGTTTCGGAGGTTGGAGGTGTTGTGGAGGTTGGAGATGTTGCGGTGGTTGGAGATGTTGCGGAGGTTGGTGATGTTGCGGAGGTTGGTGATGTTGCGGAGGTTGGAGATGTTGCGGAGGTTAGTGATGTTGCGGAGGTTGGAGATGTTGTGGAGGTTGGAGATGTTGCGGAGGTTGGAGATGTTGCGGAGGTTGGTGATGTTGCGGAGGTTGGTGATGTTGTGGAGGTTGGAGATGTTTCGGAGGTTGGAGATGTTTCGGAGGTTGGTGATGTTGTGGAGGTTGGAGATGTTTTGCGGTGGTTGGAGGTGTTGCGGAGGTTGAAGATGTTGCGGTGGTTGGAGATGTTGTGGAGGTTGGAGATGTTTTGCGGTGGTTGGAGGTGTTGCGGAGGTTGGTGATGTTGTGGAGGTTGGAGATGTTGTGGAGGTTGGAGATGTTGCGGAGGTTGGAGATGTTGCGGTGGTTGGAGGTGTTGCGGAGGTTGGTGATGTTGTGGAGGTGAAGTCTACAAGATTTGGACAGTGATTGGATTTGGGGCTGAAAGGACAGATGGGAGTCTAGGATTACACCTCTACTTTCACATTTTTATGATTCATTCTGGTTTTTGCCTGGAAATGCCTTAAGAAGTCTTTTTTTGCACAATGAAAATACATTCTTTGTATTCTTTGATACATCTTTTCCTCACATTGCGGTGCTGTGTACTGGCAGAGCTGAGTAACAGCCACACCCTCAGTACAAGTGTCCTTTCACAGACTTGGATTACAGAGAAGGAGATGATGTGAATGGTCCTGTCTGTGTTACATTGCAGAGAGCGGTTGGTCTAAGTGTAGGGCCTATTGGACTGCACGCTCATATGTACCATATGTGTCATATGTCATATGTAGGCACCCCGCGGAGCAACTGTATTAGGGACTTGGAAGAATGACTACATAGAGGTTGGTAGCACCATATCTACTATATATCTACTTACCTATTTGTGTGACTTTAAATGTTGTGGCGGAGGAGGGGTGTTCTTGGGTCATGTGGGGTTTTAGTGTTTTGTGGAAGTAGCTTGTTCAAGGCCTGTTGTAGTCTTGTGTGTCTCCATACATCTTATCTGGTACCAAGTCAGCAATGGTAGGTTACAGTGTGGATTAGATGTGACCAACTCAACTGTCATTCCTATTATTTAACTGACATATAGCCCTCAAGATTAAGCCGAGGTCCTTCCCAGAAAAAGTGATGCTAGAAAAGAAAAGAGTTTAGAGAACATCTAAAGCCACAATGTTTTAGCTTTGTAGAAAGTCTGGCAGTTTTTGGTAGCAGAGACAAAACAGAAAGTGAGAGGAAATTTCTCTAAAAATAGGTGGAAAATCTTTGTAGACAGTTTTTACCAAAACCAGTCTCCTCTGCGGAAGAGTTCCACACATCTCCTATTCCAATGACAACAGAACAATGTTGGATTTTCCATCACTTTCTATCACTTGACAATGATCCTCAGGACAAGTAGAGAGCGTGAATCTGTCCAGTGGGGTCACAGTCAGCAATAGAAACCCCACAGTGTGTCTAACCCTTCCCCCTCCATTAAAAAGATGTTGGCTTTAGATAGTTACTTGTAATTCACCCGGCAACAGTAAGAAAGCCCTTCATTGTATCAAATGAAATAAGTATTCTATGTTGGAAGCAGATCTGTTGTATAATATCTTTCTCAGCCACATTGTACTAGTGTGTCATTGTGTGTTTTTCAGAGAAAAAGTGTAAATCAAGATGGTGTCCCTTCAATTCAGGTAAGAAAGCTGCCCAAAGCAATGGATATCATCAGACAATGCCGCTGACCACGATATGTGTCCCTTCTAAGAGCAGAATGTTTCATCTGATAACAGACACCCAGTGCTGTGGGATGGACATCTATCACTTTTCCTGATGGTTGATATTAGCATTATTTTAACACATTTACCAACAGAAAGACACAAAATATGACCTCAGTGGAGAGGAGGGCTTACAGTCAGAGATGTGGGGGGACTTGTGTAATGAAAGGTTAGGGACAGGTCTGGTGGTGGTCAAATGGGGAAGGACTGGTCAATGTGGGGAATAGGAAGGATAGGACATCTGGAAGAAATGTATATGTTAAATATTGTGACACTTATATTATTTAAGTGTCTGTCTTTAGGCGTTTGAGGCAAAGTGTTCTAGTGCCAGGCTGATTTAAAACAGTGTGACTTTTATTTAATTCACACTTGGCATCAAAAATGAATACAAAAGATAAAATAAAATACAGAGTAAAATATAACAAAAGTTGTAGATTATGGAAAAAGAAATAAGCTTTGGAGAAATGTCTAATCTCTTGCCTGTTCTATGACAAGTGTTTCAGTCTTGGCAAGGAAGACAACAGGTGTATCAAGGCTTTGCAGGCCTTAAGAAAACAAAGATGTCAATGCGTGTCAGCTGTATAATGTCTTGATGTATGAGTGTGAGTGAGTGTATGTATCTCTCTATCTCTAAGGCACATCTTATATATATTTTACCAGACCAACCCACTAAACAGTTATTTCCTAATTCAGTGTTAGCTAAATAAGTAAAACCCTTATTTGTGCTTCTTCTAAACTTATACTCTTAGTGTCCATATATGTAAACCTTCTAAACTTATACTTAGTGTCCATATATGTAAACCTTCTAAACTTATATTCTTAGTGTCCATATATGTAAACCTTCTAAACTTATACTCTTAGTGTCCATATATGTAAAGCCTTCTAAACTTATAAGTGTCCATATATGTAAACCTTCTAAACTTATATTCTTAGTGTCCATATATGTAAACCTTCTAAACTTATATTCTTAGTGTCCATATATGTAAACCTTCTAAACTTATACTTAGTGTCCATATATGTAACCTTCTAAACTTATACTTAGTGTCCATATATGTAAACCTTCTAAACTTATACTTAGTGTCCATATATGTAAACCTTCTAAACTTATACTTAGTGTCCATATATGTAAACCTTCTAAACCTTCTAGTGTCCATATAAACTTATACTTAGTGTCCATATATGTAAACCTTCTAAACTTATACTTAGTGTCCATATATGTGTAAACCTTCTAAACTTATACTCTTAGTGTCCATATATGTAAACCTTCTAAACTTATACTCTTAGTGTCCATATATGTAAACCTTCTAAACTTATACTTAGTGTCCATATATGTAAACCTTCTAAACTTATACTCTTAGTGTCCATATATGTAAACCTTCTAAACTTATACTCTTAGTGTCCATATATGTAAACCTTCTAAACTTATACTCTTAGTGTCCATATATGTAAACCTTCTAAACTTATACTCTTAGTGTCCATATATGTAAACCCTATCTAGTGTCCATATATGTAAGCCTTCTAAACTTATATTCTTAGTGTCCATATATGTAAACCTTCTAAACTTATAGTGTCTTAGTGTCCATATATGTAAACCTTCTAAACTTATACTCTTAGTGTCCATATATGTAAACCTTCTAAACTTATACTTAGTGTCCATATATGTAAACCTTCTAAACTTATACTTAGTGTCCATATATGTAAGCCTTCTAAACTTATACTTAGTGTCCATATATGTAAACCTTCTAAACTTATACTTAGTGTCCATATATGTAAGCCTTCTAAACTTTACTTAGTGTCCATATATATACTTCTAAACTTATACTCTTAGTGTCCATATATGTAACCCTTCTAAACTTATACTTAGTGTCCATATATGTAAACCTTCTAAACTTATACTCTTAGTGTCCATATATGTAAGCCTTCTAAACTTATACTTAGTGTCCATATATGTAAACCTTCTAAACTTATACTTAGTGTCCATATATGTAAGCCTTCTAAACTTATACTTAGTGTCCATATATGTAAACCTTCTAAACTTATACTCTTAGTGTCCATATATGTAAACCTTCTAAACTTTATACTTAGTGTCCATATATGTAAACCTTCTAAACTTATACTTAGTGTCCATATATGTAAACCTTCTAAACTTATACTTAGTGTCCATATATGTAAACCTTCTAAACTTATACTTAGTGTCCATATATGTAAGCCTTCTAAACTTATACTTAGTGTCCATATATGTAAACCTTCTAAACTTATACTCTTAGTGTCCATATATGTAAGCCTTCTAAACTAAATACTTAGTGTCCATATATGTAAACCTTCTAAACTTATATTCTTAGTGTCCATATATGTAAACCTTCTAAACTTATACTTAGTGTCCATATATGTAAACCTTCTAAACTTATACTTTACTCTTAGTGTCCATATATGTAAACCTTCTAAACTTATATTCTTAGTGTCCATATATGTAAACCTTCTAAACTTATACTCTTAGTGTCCATATATGTAAACCTTCTAAACTTATACTTAGTGTCCATATATGTAAACCTTCTAAACTTATACTCTTAGTGTCCATATATGTAAACCTTCTAAACTTATACTTAGTGTCCATATATGTAAACCTTCTAAAAACTTAGTGTCCATATATAAACTTAGTACTTAGTGTCCATATATGTAAACCTTCTAAACTTATACCTTCTAAACTTATATTCTTAGTGTCCATATATGTAAACCTTCTAAACTTATACTCTTAGTGTCCATATATGTAAACCTTCTAAACTTATACTTAGTGTCCATATATGTAAACCTTCTAAACTTATATTCTTAGTGTCCATATATGTAAACCTTCTAAACTTATACTCTTAGTGTCCATATATGTAAACCTTCTAAACTTATACTTAGTGTCCATATATGTAAACCTCTAAACTTATACTTAGTGTCCATATATGTAAACCTTCTAAACTTATATTCTTAGTGTCCATATATGTAAACCTTCTAAACTTATACTCTTAGTGTCCATATATGTAAACCTTCTAAACTTATATTCTTAGTGTCCATATATGTAAACCTTCTAAACTTATACTTAGTGTCCATATATGTAAACCTTCTAAACTTATACTTAGTGTCCATATATGTAAACCTTCTAAACTTATACTTAGTGTCCATATATGTAAACCTTCTAAACTTATACTTAGTGTCCATATATGTAAACCTTCTAAACTTATACTTAGTGTCCATATATGTAAGCCTTCTAAACTTATACTTAGTGTCCATATATGTAAGCCTTCTAAACTTATATTCTTAGTGTGACGTTATCTGCAAACCTCTTAGACGACAGAAATACATGATACTGTTATCTGATATACAATGGCTTCACATATCTTTAGAAAGGACAATGATCACATAAATGCATATAACCAACAATAATTGATACTAAACTTATCACACACTATTCCTAACTAATAAATTGATTATATGAAATAATTATCCAACTAACTATATTATGGATTAGACATGATTTTCTTTATAAAAGACATATCCTTTCTTTGTTCTACTACATATCAATATCTTTTTACATTCCAATTTCTATTCTTAAAACTAAGCTTATGACCTGCTGACCTCTTAGACATGAATATACCATGGTTCATCTTTAACACCTGTTTTCAAAGCCATCATACACACGCAGAGTTAAAATTACTTCTCAGTGATTTTGCTGTCATTGTGAAGGATATGAAAAGATACAGACGTCTGTTTTATGCTAAATTAATTTCTACAGTATAAAATGGTGAATTTTGGAAGAAACAGGACAGGGATGACAATTCCAGAAGATGGAGTAGTCCTAGAGAAGTCTTGGAGTTATCAGTGGAGGATTGAAGAGTAGTGGATGTATGAAGTGGGGTAGTAGTGGTAGTAGAGGTAGTAGTGGTAGTAGAGGTAGTAGAGGTTGCTTTTGCTCCGATAGGAAATATCTGAGATGGAATCAAAGGGTTTTTTCATACGCCAACAGATGTTAGCACAAGGCTGTACGCACAGTCCCCGACCATCATAAGTCAGTGTGCCAAAAGACACCGTACTGTGTACATCGGGAGCTGTGCAACTGGTGCTATTCTGACCACGTGCATTGCCACGTCTAATATTTCTTCATGGACACCAAGTTAGAACAAAGAGCAAATGTGAAGTTCTGCATGAAACTGGGAAAACCTGCCCACAGACGTTTGGCATGATCCAGCAAGTCTATGGCGATGCTGCTTTTGAGGTGTTTTGAGTGGCCAGCTCCCCAGTCCCCAGGCCACGGATGACCCGTCCTTTATGCCAAGGATCATTACCGGTGATGACACTTGGGTGTACGGGTTTCACACAGAATTTCAGGTTTGCTCTTAGTTCTGACTTCTACCTGTCCTTATGGAAACACGTTGAGACAATGTGCGGGGTAACAAAGACCCGCCTCTAACACGCCATATTCTGTTACATGTCAATCATTCCACATCATCAGAAATAGTAACATTTCTATATCATAGAAGACAATGACCGAGAGCCGGCAGCAGACCCTCAGTCTGAACATTTCTACCCCTCACCTTTGTCTCCTCCGAGTGTCCAGCATTCAGACTGATTTAGTTGTGTTTTATTCCCCCAGCCCCAGCGACCAGGATGAAGACCATCCGCCATATTCTTGTGCTTGTCGTCCTGTCCCAGATAGCGGGACTGATATAATACAAAGTCCATGGAGAAGGAGCCTAGTCCTTCAGAAGTGTCATCACAGGAACATCGCCCCAGCTATCATCCCTTCTACACATGGCTATCATCCCTTCTACACATGGCTATCATCCCTTCTACACATGGCTATCATCCCTTCTACACATGGCTGTCATCCCTTCTACACATGGCTATCATCCCTTCTACACATGGCTGCCATCCCTTCTACACATGGCTATCATCCCTTCTACACATGGCTATCATCCCTTCTACACATGGCTATCATCCCTTCTACACATGGCTGTCATCCCTTCTACACATGGCTATCATCCCTTCTACACATGGCTGCCATCCCTTCTACACATGGCTATCATCCCTTCTACACATGGCTATCATCCCTTCTACACATGGCTGTCATCCCTTCTACACATGGCTGTCATCCCTTCTACACATGGCTATCATCCCTTCTACACATGGCTGTCATCCCTTCTACACATGGCTGTCATCCCTTCTACACATGGCCATCATCCCTTCTACACATGGCTGTCATCCCTTCTACACATGGCTGTCATCCCTTCTACACATGGCTGTCATCCCTTCTACACATGGCATCCTTGGACTGGTCCCCCCGTGTGATATATTTGTGTCAGAGAAGAAAATGTTATTGTTGTTTATTTCATGACTAACGCAAGCAGAAGCTGCCAGGAAATGAATGTTGGAGAGATCAGAGCTGACCAGATTATGCTGCACTTCCAGAACAATCACCGTGACCCAGAAATACACGGATGCATCAGCCTGCACACCTGACATACATCCTGACAACTGACATACATCCTGACATCTGACATACATCCTGACAACTGACATACATCCTGACACCTGACATACATCCTGACACCTGACATACATCCTGACACCTGACATATATCCTGACACCTGACATACATCCTGACACCTGACATACATCCTGACAACTGACATACATCCTGACACCTGACATACATCCTGACAACTGACATACATCCTGACACCTGACATACATCCTGACACCTTACGTACATCCTGACACCTGACATACATCCTGACAACTGACGTACACTGAAAAGCTACTAAAAATTGACTAGTTTTGGACTCAACCGGAATAGAGAATTTGTATGAATGTGGATACTAAAGCATAATGATTCAAAAAAGGAAAGAAAGGTGATCAATGGCACACGAGAACTTTATTGACACAGACAAAATTAAAAATGAAACACAGAACACAAAAGATCATATCACACTCCACCGGTCCCATGTATAGATCCTCCATGTACACGGTCCCATGTATAGATCCTCCATGTACACGGTCCCATGTATAGATCCTCCATGTACACGGTCCCATGTATAGATCCTCCATGTACACGGTCCCATGTATAGATCCTCCATGTACACGGTCCCATGTATAGATCCTCCATGTACACGGTCCCATGTATAGATCCTCCATGTACACGGTCCCATGTATAGATCCTCCATGTACACGGTCCCATGTATAGATCCTCCATGTACACGGTCCCATGTATAGATCCTCCATGTACACGGTCCCATGTATAGATCCACCATGTACACGGTCCCATGTATAGATCCTGTAAGGGGAACCCATTAGTAATCGGTTGGATATTGAGGGTGACTCCCTCATGACCTACAACATGTTCTATACAATACTTCAAGTAGCATGTGACAAAGTATATACCGCATGCTCCTATACCCGACACAGACCAGCCAATTCCGTATTCCGGTTAAGTCCATAACTAGTCCATTTTTGGTAGCTTTCAATGGTTTGGTGTCTAAGGACTCCCGGTATATCTCTAGTTTGATCACATATTTAGGTACCTTGAGGCTTCTTTTGGCCTTGAAGAAGTCTTCCTTCCCCTTGAAATGTCCCTCATGTTGTCCTGTGACAACCAGAACCGTCAACGTATTTTATTGGGATTGGCTGTGATAGACCAACACAAAGTGGCACATAATTGTTGGGTCTGAAGGAGAGGCGAGTCCTCGAAACCTGTCAGCCTATTGGAAGTCTACACTCCCTATTGCGGACTGTTACTCAGTGCGGTGCTGACCCAGCTGTTCTTTCCTGATGTGCCTTGACTTTATTGTCGTTTGTGAGTACAACACATACTTTATTTCTTATTAAACATTTTTCATGGTAATGCCCTCGGCCTGAGCGCCCTCTGTGTGTTCTTTCCTCATTCAGTATATTTGGATTCCCGCCCCCCCGTCTATTGAGGGCAGCAAGGTGTGCATGTTCCAGGACATTCTTAATGTGGTTGTAGCATCTAGTCCATCCTCAAGCGCAGCAGCATTTGTGTTTGCACAAAGTGGAAGTGGAAGGAAAATGAGAAATGGTTTCCAACATTTGTGACCAATAAATCTGTGAAAAGTGTGGCGGCATTTGTATTCGGCCCCCTGGAGTCAATACTTTGTAGGACCCCCTTTGGCTGAAATTCCAGCTGCAAGTCTTTTTGGGGACATCTCTCTCTAGAGAGGGACATTTCTGCCCGTTCTTCTCTGCAGAATCCCTCAAGCTCTGTCAGGTTGGATGGAGAGCGTCTGGGAACAGCAATTTTCAGGTCTGGCCACAGATCCTCCATTGGATTTGGGTCTGGACTGTGACTGGGCCATTCTAACACATGAAGATGCTTTGATCGGAACCATTCCATTGTAGCTCTGGCTGGATGTTTCGGGTCGTTGTCCTGCTGGAAGGGGAACCTCCGCGCCCCGGTCTCAAGTCTTCTGCAGACTCTAACAGGTCTTCTTCTAAGATTGCCCTGTATTTGGCTCCATCCATCTTCCAATCAACTCTGACCAGCTTCCCTGTCCCTGCTGAAGAAAAGCATCTCCACCACATGATGCTGCCACCACCATGTTTCACGGTGGGGATGGTGTGTTCAGGGTGATGTGCAGTGTTAGTTTTCCCCCACACATAGAATTTTGCTTTTAGGCCGTAAAGTCCCATGTTGGTCTCCTCTGACCAGAGCCCCTTCTTCCATGTTTGCTGTGTCCCCCACATGGCTTCTCACAAACTGCAGATGGGACTTCTTATAGCTTTCCTCCAACAATGGCATCTTCTTGTCACTCTTCCATAAAGGCCAGATTTGTGGAGCGCACGACTAATAGTTGTCCTGAGGACAGCTTCTCCCCCCTGAGCTGCAGCTCCTCCACAGTTCCCATGGGCCTCTTGGCTGCTTCTCTGATGAATGCTCTCCTTGCCCGGTCGGTCAGTTTAGGTGGACGGCCATGTCTTGCTAGGTTTGCAGTTGGGTCTTACTCTTCCCATTTTTGTATGATGGATTGAACACAGTGCTCCGTGAGATGCTCAAAGCTTGGGAGATTGTTTCATAACCTAACCCTGCTTTAAACTTCTCCACAATTTTATCCCTGACCTATCTGGTGTGTTCCTTGGCCTTCATGTTGCTGTTTGTCCACTGATGTTCTCTAACAAACCTCTGAGGGCTTCACAGAACAGCTGGATTTATACTGAGATCACATGACACACAGGGGGACGCTATGTACTAATTAGGTGACTTCTGAAGGCAATCGGTTCCACTAGATTTTAGTTATCAGAGTAAAGGGGGCTGAATACAAATGCTGCCACAATTCTCACAGATATATTGGTCACAAATGTTGGAAACCATTTCTCATTTTCCTTCCACTTCACAATCATGTGCCACTTTGTGTCAGTCCATCACATCCAATCATAATATAATACATTGACGGTTCTGGCTGTCACATGACAACATGGGGGGCATTTAAAGGGGGAGGAAGACTTTTTCAAGGCACTGTACATCCTGACAACTAATGAGCATTCTGACAACTGAGATACATCCTGACAACTGATGAGCTTTCTGACACCTGACATACATCTTTTATCTGATATAGATCTCAACATACATCCCAATACCCAATAAATTTCCCATCACCTGAGATACATCCTGACACCTGAGATACATCCTGACACCTGAGATACATCCTGACACCTGATGAGTATCCTGACAACTGACATACATCCTGACAACTGACATACATCCTGACACCTGACATACATCCTGACACCTGATGAGTATCCTGACAACTGACATACATCCTGACACCTGAGATACATCTGACACCTGATGAGTATCCTGACAACTGACATACATCCTGACAACTGACATACATCCTGACACCTGATGAGTATCCTGACACCTGATGAGTATCCTGACACCTGACATACATCCTGACACCTGACATACATCCTGAAACCTGACATACATCCTGACACCTGAGATACATCCTGACACCTGATGAGTATCCTGACAACTGACATACATCCTGACACCTGACATACATCTGACACCTGATGAGTATCCTGACACCTGACATACATCCTGACACCTGATGAGTATCCTGACAACTGACATACATCCTGACACCTGAGATACATCTGACACCTGATGAGTATCCTGACAACTGACATACATCCTGACAACTGACATACATCCTGACACCTGATGAGTATCCTGACACCTGATGAGTATCCTGACACCTGACATACATCCTGACACCTGATGAGTATCCTGACACCTGACATACATCCTGACACCTGAGATACATCTGAACAATTGATATACAGCCTGATTTCTGATATACACCTGCTATACATTGTGCAGCGTTCACCCCTGAAGGAGCCGTTTCCTCGGGTCCCCTATTCTCAGTGGCCATGGTCTTTCATGAACAGACAAAGGTCCTGCGGGGCAGAAAACAACTGGAGCAACCAACAGTGATAAAGCTGGCCACACATGGATCAAAATTTTAGTCTATGTATGGGATCCCTGGTTGTACACGACTCGATCTATCCATTGACTTGTGTACAACCCGCCTGGTAAGGTTTTTCCTGAACGACTAATGCCACTGACTATAGCTGCCCCCCCCCCCACCAGCAGAACCCCCCACCAGCAGAACCCCCCCACCAGCAGAACACAATAGCACTGTGGGAGGGA